CATCCCTAACTTTTATTGATACGTGAGCCCATCTACTCTTCTATCAGCAATAAAAGGAATATTTCTAGCAAGGCTGTGACCTTTTCTTCTATCACTACAGCAACTGGGAAATGGGATTTCAGGTTCCACGTTTAAAAAGAAAAAAAGTCCTAAGAAAAGAAAGGATGAAATATGCTCATGTGTTGGGTTTGGTTTTTTTTTTGTTTCCCTTCCTCTTGTTAGTATTAAAGAAGAAGGAAATTCTCTGTAAGCACCAGAGATGTGTGGTGCCTTCACATTAGCCCACATGGAAAGAAACAGAATGGAAAGAAAGAACAATTAATCCTTCCCTGGAAGCCATGAGCATTTTTCCCTTGCAAGAAACATCCCTTTGAACAGATCTCCCCAATAAAAGCTGATGAAAGATTGGTAGCCTGGGTGTGAGGCAGGTTATCATTGCAGTGGGATATGCCATGCCCAAGGCACCCTCCTGCTGCTGCCATCCTTTCCATCAATGCAGCAATGGGCTTGTCCTCATTGAGTCACCACCCTTTCGGCACTTTGCCCTATACCATAGCTTAAATTTTCCAATTCCCTGTTTAAAAAACAGACTGCTTCTGAAGGACAACAGTGCACAAGTTACTCTGTGACCTCCAAAACCTAAGGGAACTGGGAGCTCAGGATAAACTGAAGGTAAATTTGACTCAGATACACCGAAATCCTCTTTTCAACACTGTGCGGGATCCTTAGGCGCCTGTAAGGTTGTCTCTACAGGGAAATGAACAGAAGAAAGCATTCCAAAATACCTCTGCTGCTTTCAACTCATACCATTTTCAAAACCCAAATAAAAACTAAATGCAGACAGTCTCTAAATTTTAGTCTAAGCCAGTGAGCAATAGCTGCTCGCATATTGGAATTTCCCCCTCTTCTGCTCTGGAGTGCCACTCAGGAAGGGCAGTGTCACTGCCATGTCCCATGGAGCACATGCGAGAGAAAAGGCAGCCTCACCTGGGTTGTTCACTCTATTCCTCTTTCTTAGAAATACCTGCAGAACTACTAAAACATGGATGGTTTGAGCTGTGAAGTGCCGCATACATACAGAGGCAGTATTAGCAAAACCAAAGGGTGGGTTTGGGTTTATCATGTTATTGATAGAAAATGTGTCTGATTAAAGTGACAACTAGCTGGCCAGCTCTCCCAACACCACTGCTCCTGCAAAACTGGGCTCTCTTGCTGGCCACTGGTCTCATGTATGGCTTTGGATAAATCACTCGTCTGCTTTCTGTGCTGGCTCATGAGTAAAACAGGAAGGCCTTTAGCAAATTATGAAGGTGAAATAAGAAAAAATTCACTCCTAGATGTACTGGCACCATGACAACAGGATTGTACAAGCACCAGATGATGATAGTGAAGTGTTTCTGCAATGAGAGTGTTGACCTAGCTTTAAAAAAACACCTCCACCACTGCTGTTCCCATTATCCATTTAACCCTGCTCTGTAAAGGGAGAAGGGCAGAGGGAAGGAATGTAGTAGGAAACAACAGAGTACTGGATCAAGGGGACCCTCACCACGTCAGCTTTCTAATTCTCATACACAGCACAAAACAGCTCAGTCACCTCTCCACAATGAAACATGTCCACAGCTCTGGTAATGGCAGACTGCAGGTTTGCAATAGTATATATTCAGTTGAAAACCATGGACAATCTCTCTTGGTCAGTAATTATTAAAAGCAAATTCAATTTAAGAAAACTGGAGTAGTAAATTAAGTATTCCAGAAGAAAAGGGGCAGTACCTAAAGCATGTGTTAGGAGAAATACATGCCACATGCTAAGGCCTGCTTTGAGAAAGATAAAATTATTTGGATGATTTTTTTCTGATACCAGAAAAATAGGACAACTGATGTCACTGAAGCCTGACAAATAAGGTCTGCTCTCTTTTTACCTGCTGATATCACCTACTGTTCACTGTCAAAGGGCAGCCTAAGGAGCCCAAATGTCCTGGAATGACTGTCCATTCTAGCAGAAGGCTGCTGCTACCAGACAAAGCAACTACAGGATCAGGAATATGAGGATTGGGCTATCTGCATAATCATCTCTCATCTTGTCCACATGGTGAGAGTAACTGCAGCCCCATAAAACTCTCCTTTATCAGGGGTATCTCTAGTGAACACAGAGGAATGCAGTGTGTGGGGTAATGTAAAGGACATTTTACAATATATGAGCTACCTAGTTAAAGGACATTTAGATTTCCTCCATTGGAGAAAAAAAGGGGATGCTTTCCTCTAAAAAATGATATGAGCAAGTGGTGGAAGAGTTAATAAATAAATAATAAAATCTCAAGAGAAACAGATTAATGAATGGAGATCTATATCTTCCAAATTTTTTCTTTGGGGGAGCATATACACTAGCACTATACTGAGCACAAGTGCCTAAGGTCATTCCTAACAACATTTGTTAAAGATGACTCCCCAACCCTCTCCTCTTGAGATGCACACCCTCTCTTCTGCTGCTCAGCCAAACTTGGTGAACCCACTCTCTGTCCATAAAGAATAATTTGAAACTGTGAGAAGTAACCCATCCAACCAGACAAAGGCAAGCTGGAAATGCACACAAGTACAACTGCCTGCTGAAGTATTAATTCCTTTATCATGCAGCTAAGGTGCTCCTTTAGCAGATGGCCATATGGCAGACCCCACCATTTACCAAAGGCTGGCTGCACAGGGGCTGAGGCATGTGGGTTCAGTGACAAGAACTGACCTCTGACAGTAACACGGCAGAAAAGAAGGAACAGATTTCATCCACCAGGCGTGGCTTTGGTCCAGACATGCCTTTGCTGACCTACTTGCCCAGAGCTGACACCTTCCCCATCACTTGGATGGCTTTCACTTATGGGATACTCATGGAGCCCCAGTGGGGAACTTCTATAGAGTTAATCTTGCCATTCTGAGGGAAGAAATAGAGGCAGCAACAAAGCCAGGCAGTGACTGAGGCAGGAGAAGAATAAAATGGAGCTTTAGGTTTCCCACTCCATGTCAGCACATGAAGGGACACAGTTTGCCTAAACACAGCCTAGTTCACTGGTGCTATACTAAATAACAACACATGAAGATTTGACCCAAAGTTTCCTAGATAACAAACAACAACAACAACCTCAGAAGACTGGATCCTATTTCATCATGTGCTCACCCTTTGTCTTTCCCTGCTAACTCTACTTGTAGAGGCACTATATTTGATTCATAAAGAAATGGAGGAAGCAGCCATCAAAGCTCCTACCTTAATTGCAAAGGCAGCGTGTCAGTTGTCATCCTTCTCCTCCCTACATTCAGATCATTAAAAAAATACTCAATCCCCATTGTACATTTGTCACTGAGCAATCTCTCACATGAGTTATTCTACACCTTGTACACAGGGCAAATTAACACTTTGGGATGTAACACTGACATACTGCCTTTCTGACAAGGCACCACTATTCCTCTTTGTTTTATGTGCAACAAAGGCTGTGGAGGGGTACCAGGTAATGACTACTGCTTTACTACTGAGACTACTGAGTCCCTGGAGGGAACAGCATATCCTCATGCAAATCATAAATCACAGGGAAGTACAACCTGCTATGATAAGTTGAAACCAGTCTTCCCTAACCTGTTCCATGCACAGTGTTGTTTCTGAAATGAAAAGCCTCATTTAGAGTGGAATAACTCTAATTTGGAGTATATTCTGCTTCATAGGGTAGATCCTATGCCCTGATGTCAATATTTCCATGAGTTTAATAGCTCACCCCATAAAAAGTATTCCATTGCTGCATTTAGAAGCTTCACAGTTTTGTTTAGAAAAATCAAATATGGACACACTGAGACTGCTGCCAGCAGAGTATCCAAGTCCCTCGACAGAGCGACTCAGACAAGAGAGGTCCCTTTACTCAGAGAGGTGGTCTTGGAGTTTCATAGAAACCAAACACCACACAGTCTTTCCAAGCTGTGGCAGCAGGCAGGTGGCCACCTGAGGGATGGGGACCACCCCAGGGGCTGTAAGCTCTTGTTTCCCCTCTGGACAGGGTGCCTTGTCATTGCTCAGCCACATCTGCTCTCCTGCAGCCCATGCTTAAGGCAACAAAGATGGGCTTAGCCCTCAAGTCAAACTCTCTGTTTCAGCAAATTGATGCCTCCTGCTGCTCTCTCAATACAACACTGTGGGTTGAAAGCATACATTTCCATACCTGCTTTATTATTTTGAGACGTGTGCTACAATAAGCTTTGGCCTGCTCAAACAGAAAACCGGCATATGGCACTGTTATTCACCACTCAGCTCTCTACAACTGCTAATGAAAAGTGCATTTCTCGTATTATCATGGCAGTAGGACCTTAACTGCATGTAACAAATTTGGCTTCTACAGAAAACAAATTCTCAGGTACATAACATTTTGTAGCTCTGAATTTCCCATTTGGCACATATTGCTTGTCCTCTCAAGTGACTGGCTTTCTACCCTCAAAAATTCAGTCTAAATGGCTTGCCTGTAATTTGCCTTCATAACTTTGGAAGCTTATAAATTAGTATTTTTCTACCATCAAACATCAAATTACACAAAACATTAGCTTCCTACCTCCTTGGTGATACAATACTGTATTCAAGGCACTTAACAAATGCCACCAGTTACGTGGACCTAGGTCAGTCGAAGCACACTGCTGTGTGATTATAAGCATAAACCTCTGTAAAGAGGAGCTGTAAGCCAGCAATAGTGCTTCACTCCTCTGGTGTGCCTTCTCTAATGGGGGTTCCCAAGTGTTTTCCAAAAGATGATATGTCACTGTTATGCTGTACAACACGGGAGACATTATTAGGATATTTTTAACCTAAGCACAAACCTGACACAGAGAACCACTTTTCATATCTTATCAGCTCAGTCTTATATGATGCACATGGTCTACTTTACTTGCCCTTGAGCAACAAGAGACAAGCTCAAGGCTGTCCCAATCTCCACAATAAATCTCTACTGAAATAACAAGTGCAAATTTATCAGGATACATACTGTAAGGGACACACTCATACTGCACTTCCAGGTACTTGTACGTCCCGGGGCACGGGTCTGGAAACACATCGGGGCCGGCAACAACCGCACACTGGGTCCGATTACTGCATCTGGAAAACAACAGAGATGAGAGTCAGAACATAGACCAGACAGAAGGACAGGACAAGAAGCTGAGTGGCCCCTGCAGTGACAAAAACATGCAGGAGCCAGGACTTCAGCATCACCTGGGAGAGCTCAGCAGTGAGCACACAGAGGCTGATGGCAAACACCAACATCTTCATCAGCCAATTACCAAAAGAGAAGAGTCATGGTGGCACAACCCTTCCCCTCCAGGAGATATTTCTTTAACACCAGCATCCTAACCAAACAAAATGCAAGGACCAAACCAACAACAGTGGCAAAAAATAATCATTGCATGTTTTATAGCAGACATAACAGTATGTTTTGCAGCATTTTTATGAAGTGCTCCCACAAAACCAGTTATCTTGTATAATACCACTTAAGCCAAACGAAAGACTAGAAACAACAACACTTCAGTAGGAGAAAAAAAAGATCACCAAATAAGCTGTCTAAAAACCAAAATAATGTTTTCATACAAGGCCTGTTAGGGAAACTTCCCAGTCTTATCATTCACAAGACTTTCGTGCCTTGCATTAGGCACAAATGGCTAAGTTTCATTCCATTATTCTGCCCAGCATGGATGCATCTCCTGAAATAAGGTACTTTTTTCCAAAAAGCTTGTTCACCATGAAGAAGACACACAGAAGAAAATGACCCTCACTGCAGCACTGAGCATCTTTTCAGCTTAAGAGCACATACACAGAGGCTGGGTTCTGCAAGATGCTCCTCCTGAGAAATATACAGGTCCATGGGTGACTGACTTATGCATGTGTAGAAACCCACATTTGCCTCTGATTTCATGGGACAAACACCTCTAATGTACAACTGGTGATGCAAAAATATTTAGCAAACAGTTATTCTATAGAAAAAAATCTTCTACTTCTTTGTTAAAAGAAAAAAAAAAAAACCTATTAATTGTCTTTGATTTTTCTGTTTTTTGCATACCAGAAAGAGACCTCCTAAGGGCTAGACAACTGCATTTATTTTCTTTAGGATTCTGCCTCCTCTGATGTGAAATGGGACCCCGACCCTCCTGCTATTCTGGCAGAAGCTGTAACATCCAGCACAGAATTCATTTAGGTCTGCAGTAGAAATGCTTCATGTTCACCTGAAGCTACAGTTTGTCAGCATTAATGCAGATTTTATTTGAGCCTATAAATTAAAATTGATTAATGTGCAACTGCCTTAAGCTCCATAATTTCTTTAATTTTATGGAAAGCATAGTAAGAGTGGATATGCTTGCTCATCAGGCTGGATATGAGATAATCAAGAGGGTTGGGACATTCTCATGTTTTCTAGCTGAAAGACAGTAGTTATCACAGCAAGTGACTAGTTTTGTTATACAGACAGAAAAATAATTTTCTTAACAAAAAAGGTAAGTGTCCTCACCCATGCTGGGATATCACAGGTAGCTCAGACCATGCAAATGGGCAGTTTTCTAGGAGAGGCTTTGAGCATCATCCAAAATTTCACTTTCAACAAAAATCCTTTACTGGGCTCAATGTGCCTTTCAAAAAGCAATTTCACTGGTCTAATCAAATAGTCTTCCTGGCTGAAGGGACAGCACTGGCCACATTACACAGAATAACAGCAATGGATCAAAGATACCTTTCAAAATCACGAGTAAAGATCCAGAATTATGAGGAATTGGAGGTGGGGGGAGGAGCGAACACAATTAGGGTTCATTTGTATTGTGTTTTCTTTCTGTTTGCAAGGAAGTATTTGCTTTGCTTTGACTGGTCAAGCGTTTGCTTATGGCCCTTTCTTTTTAATGCAATAATTTGGACACATAAAACAGAAGTGAAAATACAACCTGGAAAGTTGTCTGTGAACAGCACAGGTTTAACCTGCTCAAATGCATACCACCTTCTGCAATATCACCAAAGAGACTAAAAGCTTCATGATAGAAGGGTTTGAATGGGGAATGCAGGATGCACAGAAATGCAAAAGCTTTTCCCCACAACTCTAGGACATCCTGAAGTCCCCCTACACTTTCCTGGAATGGGAGATGGCAAAGCCCACCAAACACAGGAACTTTCAAAGATGGCGAGATCAAATTATCAGTGCCACTTTTAGGGAGGAAATACAGAAAACCAAATTAAAAACTCTCAAATAAAATCACAAATACTACATGGTGTCAGTACCTCACAAAATTAACTAAAAAAAGGGTTCATCTTAAAAACAAACAAATACAAAAAACCAAAACAAATTAAAAAAAAAACAAAATGAAAACTGTAAGAACTCAACCTCCTCTCTTTTTCACATTTCTTTCCTGTGGGGAGCAAAATGGAATCTGGCACTTGGCATTTTGAGCTTCCTTTTATCATCCCAGGGTGAAATACACAGGTTTCTCATTCCAGCATGCTTAAGGTATGACAGCAATTTACACTAAAAAACATAGGAAAAAACCTAATACATCTTCAATGAACTATTACTGTCAGACATCAGGTTATGGAAATTTTAAGGGGAGAAAGAGGTAAAAACCACCTCATCACTAAAGCACTGGTTGCTCTGCTTTTGCTCATGCATTTTATCCCTTTTACAACAGCTTCTTGGTCCCTTCAGCTTTGCCATATTTCTTTCCAGACAGATTAAAGGCCCAGGTGACACTAAGCGACATGCAAAAAATGACATAGGAAAGGAGATATGTAAAAGATGATGAATCTGTAGCCTTGAAAATGACAGGGAGAAAAAACATACTATATTCATGCCATACTCCATTTTCAGCAAACCAGGCCATGAGCTCTTCCTTGTAAATCACAGGATTTTACATGGAATCTTGGGATTCCTTGGCACCTGGGTCTTGGCAATACTTGCTCCAAACTCCTGCAAGTTGTGAGGCTCAGTGCTGGGTGCTGACCTTTCCAGTAAATGCAGCAAGGATCTTTTTTTTTTTTCTTTTAATTCTTGTTTTTTGTCCATCATGTCCTCTCTGCCACTGCCCACCTCAATCCATTCCCCCTCCCTTCCTTTTTCTTTTATTTTTTCTCTCTTTTCTTGAAGGAAGATCTTTGTCAGCTACTGGAGGTACAGTTTGCAATGAGAACCAGCATTGCAGCAGCTGATATGGAGCTGGTAAGTATGACTCTGTCTCCTCTACTGGGCAATCACAGAAACACCTCCCTTAGCTATACAGTAGCTCTGCATCACACTGGATTCCTCTCCAATAGTGCAGGAATCACTTGCATTGCTGGCTATAGCATAACTTTAGCACAACCCCAGAAAAATACAGTCACCTTTTTCACACACATCTATGTCTCTTATTACTGCCTTTACACGAGCATCTCTTATTTCTAGCACTGATTCACCAACTCCTTCAAAGAAAAACACTTCCTTCCCCATCACTGCCCTCATGCTACTTTTCCACAGCTCATTCTCCATATGTTCTGATGCCAAGCAAACAAGAGAACTGTGAAAGGATTTAGGCAATTTTAGGGGACCAGAAAGAAAATTTTATGCTATTAAAGAAACAGCATTTTAAAGGCAAATGTTCTGGAAACACAGGAAAATTGAAGTAGCCTCTCAAGTGGTTTTAGTTCACCTTGTTGTTGTTTGTTATGAAATCTGACAAGAAATTTATAGTCATCTTTCTGTATGTGTGTTGGTTTGTTTTATTTTGCAGCCCTTATTTCTATCTGCCATCATTCTCCTTTCCCTGTTATGCCCTGAAGTGCAAGGTGGGCACATGAGTAAAGACACTGCTTCTCACAGACGCTCTCCATGTCTTGGGCCTCTTCCATAATTGCAGCTGGGATCTGTGGACACTTTGCCTGAACCAAGAGTGTCCACTCAGCTCAGCAAGACCAACCAAGAGGCCAGAAACCAAAGCAAAACCCAAGATTAGCATTTTCAGCCCAACTTGAGACACCGATGCCTGTCTGTTCCTGTATCTTCAAGAAAAGAGAATACTCCAAACCCTTCTAAAAGTCAGTCCAACGTACTTGGCAGCCTTTAAGCATCATCATCTCATAAACATAAGTTCATGTTATTCGCATCTATGTTTTGGAGAGGAAAAATCACTCTACTGGGAAAAGTGTAAAGTGTTGCAGTTGCAAGATTATAAAAAAAAAACAAAAACAAACAAACAAAAAAACACCAAAAAACTAACAGAAAGGAAAAAAAAAAAGGGGGGGGGTTCCCTATACATTCTTTCCAGCTGCATTTATTCCTGCTTTTTAAGTTCCCCATTTTGTCTTTCTACCTGGATATGTGGAAAAGTATTTTATCTAGAAGCAAGGTGTCAATCCAGTATAACAAATACTCTGTAACAGAAAACATGGACTATTTTTACAGAACATCTCCCAGTTCCAGTGGAAAACGACTTTCAGGAGTTCTAATATGAAACAGGAACAGTATATTATATGTCATTTGTTTTGCATTTATAGCAGTGGGACTGAAGGAAACATTTGAGCTCAGGACCAGCTGCAGGGCTCAACTCTGCTTACAGCTCTGTTCAGACTTTAACTAAAAGCAACACCAAAACTTCATTTCCCTTCAGCAAACTGCCATTTCTTCTCCCTGGAAATATTTTAATGATTTTTAAGTGACAAGGTCATCTGTGATAGCAAGACAGAAATGCTTTAGACGTAAACAGCTGCTTATTCCTGCTGTGTTATCTTTAATTTTTTTTTTTTTTTTTTTTAATGCTGACATTGTTAATATATGCAGCAAGAGACAACGAAAGAAAAACAAATAGTTTGGCAGTCTATTTTCAGGCTTTCTAGAAACTTTTAAACCATAGACATATCAACATCATCAGGCTAGACATGTCTGGGGCAATATGTTTGCCAGAACAAAAATGCAAAGGCAGCATAAAATAAAAGATCAATCCCAAACAAAAGCCTTTCAGCACTAATCATCGCAGGTGCAATACCAGCAAGTCCTCCAACTCCCCACCTAGGAGGGGACCAGACAACATAAACAGATGCCTAAACCATGGAGGCAGGCACCTGTTGTGCTAGGGACATCAGGAGAAGAGCAACAAGAATCC